TGAGGCTGTTTTTCCCAGGATCTGAGTCTGTTTTTCCCAGGATCCAGGGTGGGATCTGAGTCTGTTTCTCCCTGGATCCAGGGTGGGATTTGAGTCTGTTTTTCCCAGGATCCAGGGTGGGATCTGAGGCTGTTTTTCCCAGGATCCAGGGTGGGATTTGAGGCTGTTTTTCCCAGGATCTGAGGCTGTTTTTCCCAGGATCCAGGGTGGGATATGAGGCTGTTTTTCCCAGGATCCAGGGTGGGATCTGAGGCTGTTTTTCCCAGGATCCAGGGTGGGATCTGAGGCTGTTTTTCCCAGGATCTGAGGCTGTTTTTCCCAGGATCCAGGGTGGGGTCTGAGGCTGTTTCTCCCTGGATCCAGGTGCTCCGGGAGGCGCACGCGGCAGCAGCAGCACCACGGCTGAAGAAATTCGCCATCTACAGATGGGACCCCGACAAGCCCGGGGACAAACCCCGCATGCAGACCTACGAGGTGGACCTGAACAAGTGGGTATCCCTTGGGAACGGGGCTTGGGAGCAATCCCAACTCCAGGGAATGGCTGGGAAGGGGCTGCTCACCTCTGGCACAGGGCAGCTCGTTGTGGGCACAGCCACAGTGGGTGTTATCCTGGGAAAAAGCAGATTTCCCTGAGCTCTTGTGAGGCTATATTCTCCTGCCTCACCTCTGTGCTGAGGGTGCCCCCAGTGCCACTGTCCCAGCAGGGAAATGTGACAGTGCTGTGACATCTGGGAGCCTGTCTGTCTCCCTGGGATGGGGTAAAGAGGTGCTGGTGGCTTCAATGAACCTGATTTATTTGGGAAGTTTGGGGGCTGCTGAAGAAGAGGGAGAGCAGCTTTTCCCATGGCCAGGTGGTGGCCTGGGAGGTGTCAGGAGCAGTGACAGGGGAAAGGGCTTGAACCAAAACAGGAGAGGTTTGGGTGGGATACTGGGAAGAAATTCTTCCCTAGGAGAGGTTGAGATGGGATTTTGGGAAGGAATTCTTTCCTATGAGGCTGGCACAGAATTCCCAGAAAAGCTGTGGTTGCTGCATCCCTGGAAGTGTCCAAGGAGCTCCTCCAGAGGAATCCACCCCAAATTCTTCCCTGAGCTCCTCCAGAGGAATCCACCCCAAACCCTTCCAGGAACTCCTCCAGAAGAATCCACCCCAAACCCTTCCCATACCTGCTCCAGAAGAATCCACCCCAAACCCTTCCCATACCTGCTCCAGAAGAATCCACCCCAAACCCTTCCCTGAGTTCCGCCAGAGGAATCCACCCCAAACCCTTCCCTGAGCTACTCCAGAGGAATCCATCCCAAACCCTTCCCTGAGCTGCTCCAGAGGAATCCACCCCAAGCCCTTCCCCAGAGCTCTCAGTCCCACCCAGTCCCTACTCAAAACCCACAGGAGCAACAGCTCTGTTTTTGGGGTGGCTTTGCCCCGGTGAATAATCCCTGGGTGGTGCCCTGGGTGTAAAATGACAGAAATTGTCTCCGAGTGTTGGTCCTCTGTCCCTCGTGACTCACAGGGACAGGCAGGGCTGTCACAGCCTGGCCCAGAGAGGGGAAAAGGGCCAGCACAGGTCACTGGGTTTGAGTTGGCTGAACCCTCAGTGATCAGCACAAGAGAATCTGACCCCCACGCTGCCCCTGGGCTGCCCTGCTGAGCCAGAGATCCCTGTTTGGTCCCTGGGATCGACACAATGAATGGCAGTTGATGAAAACCCTTTGAGGTTCTGCTGCGTGTGGGTGCAGGGGTCAGACCTTGAGTTTAGGGGCTCTGCAGGGTCAGTGATTTGGGATTTCTGCTGCAGGTGTGGGCCCATGGTGCTCGACGCCCTGATCAAGATCAAGAATGAGATGGACTCCACACTGACCTTCCGCAGGTCCTGCAGGGAGGGTAAGGACAGGACATTCCTGCCTGGAATGCTGCCTGTGCTGATTGTGAGACCCCCAGAGAGCTCAGAGCCCCCTCCCCTCCCACCTGTGGGGATAAAACACCAAAATGAACCAAGGTGTAAAACTCCTCAGAACCCTTCCCACCCATGGGGATAAAACACCAAAATGAACCAGGGAGTAAAGCTGATGTTGGGGTGTAATTACACAGTTCTGAGCTGCCAGCATCAGTAATTCCTTCCACAGCTCCCAGTTGTTCCAGTTTCTCTCCCAGTCTGGTTCATCTGCTGCCTCCCAGTGCGTGGGGCAATTCAGGGAGAGGTTGCAGCGGTGAAGCTGAGAGGGCAGGGGTGGAATGGGAGCAGGGGCTGTGCCAGTGCTGCTGTCGAAATCAGACTGGGTGGAACTGGAGAGCACGCAGGACTTCGAGGAACAGCTCCAGGAATCTACTCCTTGGACCTTTGGCCAAGGCCAGGGATGGATTGAGGAAAAGGGCACTGGTGGTTTGAGGTTGTGGTTGCTTCCAAATCTGCTCTGGGGCTGCTCTCAGACTTTCTTTCCCTGGGAAAAACTCCTGATCCACGGGTCATGCTGGGTGCTGAGCTGTGGGATTGCATTCCTGGCTGGAATGACCCTGGATTAGGGTCATGCTGGGTGCTGAGCTGTGGGATTGCATTCCTGGCTGGAATAACCCCAAATTAGGGTCATGCTGGGTGCTGAGCTATGGGAGTGCAGCGAGGGAGGCTGCTGAGCTGTGGGGTTGCATTCCTGGCTGGAATGACCCTGGATTAGGGTCATGCTGGGTGCTGAGCTGTGGGGTTGCATTCCTGGCTGGAATGCTCTGGATTAACAGGTGGGTCTGCAGGCAGGGGCGGTCTCAGGGCAGGTGGTGCCTGGGGATGTTTTGGCTGGGATGGGAATGGAAAGCAGCACTCCCGAGGCAGCTTTTCCTCTGGAATCTGCACAGCAGGGGCAGGAATTGCACACGGAGTGGGGCTCCCAGACAGCCAAAACTCTTCCCAAGCTGGAATTCACTGTCCTGAATATTTTCCCTGGACAAGACAGATTTTCAGGCCGGGCTGGTTCCATCCTGCCCCTTCTGTGGCACCCCCGATCTCACATTCCTGCTCCCCTCCCCAGCTGCCTGGAAAATACTTGGGAGCCTTTCTGCAGTGGGAGGAATAGCCTCGTGGCAGTGCCAGGCGCTGGGACACTGTCAGAGGTGTCATTTCATCCATTTGTTGGGCTATTTTTGTGCCCCTGCTGCTCTCACCTTGGGGTGAGTTTGGGGTGAGCTCCCTGGGAAGAAGCTTCTGCCTTCCTGGGAGAAGTGGGGTCCATTCCTGAATATCAGGGATGATTTGGGTTATTTATTCCCCTTTTGTGAGGAGAGGCTGTGGGAGCTGTTTATTCCAGGGGCCTGTTTATTCCAGAGATGAGGAGGCTGAGAGGGTGTTTTGGCTTAGGGCAAATTCGGGAGAAAACTTTTAAAGGGGTTCTTCTAGAAAACAAATTGAAGCAGCCCCTTTTGTAATTGGTTTAGGAAAAGATCTCTTCGGAGAGAGGCGGAAAAAATTGTTTATTTAATAGGTAAAGCAATCTCTAGCACAAAAGAAATGAACAATACTAAACAGTAAAACTTCTCATCGCTCCAAAGAGGTGATAAATTCAGAAAGTCTCCTTTGTGGGTTGCAGCTCAGCTTACTTAGTCTGCCATTAGTGTTTTTGGAGTTGGGAAATGTTGTGGCCTAGGCCAGACCTTGGTGGGCTGTAGGTGTGAGCTTCTAGTGCTCTTTTGGGTTTTTAGTCTAGAATAGGTTTAAACAATTAAAAAAAAAAGAATAGGGAACTTCTCTGCTTCAGCATGTTAAAAACTAATGAAAAGCAAAGGAGAGTTCTCTGCTGCTGTCCAGTGCAGACAGCACAGTCTGTGTGAAGGATGAAGGGAAGTAAGTGCATCTCTGATAACAAACTCTGCACTTCTCTCTCTTTTCACTCCTGGAACCAGTCTTAAAGTTGTAGGACTTAATATCCAGCACAAACAGACCAGATGATCGGGGATACAAACGTCATAAAGTCACCCCAGGACAAAGGGGATCCCCTCAATCCTCACACATATTTCCAGATTTTGGTCCCAGGCTCTTCCCAGTGGTGCCCAGAGTCAGGACAAGGAGCAGCAGCCACAAATTAACACACCAAAATTCCAGCTGAACGTTTGGAAAAGGTTCCTTTCCCTGGAGTGGAACTCCAGCTCCAGCTTTTAGAGGAGAAAAAGGGTAGAATAAGGTTTGTGAGGGTTTTGTGAGTTTGCTGTCACTTGGATCCATCCTGTGACCCCCAAGGGTTTGAAAGGAAGAACAGTCTCAGCCTGGACTCCAGGTTTTGAGGAAAAAGGGTACTGGGCACTTCCTCTGACCACTATTTCTGTGAGTAGCAACATTTTTGTGGGTTTACTACAGCTTGGATCCATCCTGTGACCTCCCAGCACGGAAAGGAAGGACAAAACCAGGCTGAATTGTGGCTTTTGGGGTTGGGCAGTGCCCAGGGGAGGTCCCAGATCTCCTTCTCTGGAGACTCTCGAACCCCTCTGGACACATTCCAGTGTCACCTGCTCCAGGGCTGGACTGGATGATTCCTAGAGGTCCCTGCCAGCCCTGGGATTCTATGGCTGAGGAAGCTGCAGCAGTTTCCCAAGTTTTAATGTCATTTTTTTTGTTCTATTGGTTTTTTTTATTTTTTATTTACTTTACGCCTGTCTCGGCTCCCACTTCAAACCCGAGAGTGGAGCTGGATGTTCTTCCCTCCCCGGATCACACCCAAGCCACCTCATTTCCTTGTTGAAGTTAAAAAATATTTGGCCCCAGTGGCAAATTCCAGTGTTTTTCTCATTTAGTGTTTTGTGGGAATGACCGTGGTGGAGTGAGAGGGGGCTTTTTGGGAACCTGGTGGATTGGGAAGAAGTTTTTTGAGACCCTGGCAGGTTGGGAAGAGGTTTTCCAGGACAGGTGACGACACTGAGAGAACAAGAAGGGATTTTTTGGGATGGGTTAGGACCCTGGTACAGTGAGGTTTTTTGGGATAAGTGAGGATCCCAGAAGGTTGGGAAGAGCCCTTCCAGGAGGTTTTCTGGGACAGGTGAGGACCGTGGAGGGTTGGGAAGGTGTTTTCCAAGACCCTGGCAGGTTGGGCAGAGGTTTTTTGGGATCCTGGTGGATTGGGAAGAGTCGAGCTGAGTTTCTCCAGGACAGCCCAGGGCCGTTTTAGAGGCCAGGAGGTAAAATCCCACACTTGGCTCTGCTTTTCCCCCTCAGGGATCTGTGGGTCCTGTGCCATGAACATCGCTGGGGGCAACACCCTGGCCTGCATCAAAAAAATCGACAGTGACCTCAGCAAAGTCACCAAAATCTACCCCCTGCCCCACATGTACGTGGTGAAGGACCTGGTTCCGGTGAGTGCAGCCCCTGTCAGGGCTGGAGCATCTAGGGGACAGCCTGGGGTGGGGACTAGGGCGTGGCAGGTGCCACCAAGGTCAGGGCTAAGTGTCCCTTGGGTGGGTCCCAGTGACTAAATTTGTCCTGGCCTGGAATGTGGCCGGTTTGGGGAGGGAATGCCACGTCCTGGTCGGGTGTTCAGGTGTAGATTTGGGGTGAAGCTGTGCCAGGAGGGGATTTAGGTGGGGTACTGGGAAGAGGCTCTGCCCTGAGGGTGGGGCTGAAAGGAGGGGTCAGGGCCCCAGGGCTTGGGCAGCAGGGTGGGTTTTGGGGTGGATCCAGCTGGGGATATTCCCTGATTCTCCTCAGCCCCAGAACCAGATACCTGTGTTCTCCTGCTCCAGGACCTGAGTAACTTCTACGCCCAGTACAAGTCCATCGAGCCATACCTGAAGAAGAAGGACGAGTCCAAGGAGGGCAAGCAGCAGTACCTGCAGTCCATCGAGGACCGCCAGAAGCTGGTCACTGCCATTTCCTGTGCTGAAACCCCTCCCAGAGCAGCCCAGGGTCACACCTGAGCACTCGGCACCTTCCCGTTGCCAGAGCCACTGCAATCCTGATCCCAGAATGGGGGCCAGGGTCGCCGGGATGGGGGACAGGGCCCCAGAATGGGGAATAGGGGACAGTGCTCCAGGATGGAGGACAGGGCCCCAGAATGAGGGACAGGGCCTCGGGATGGAGGACAGGGCCCCAGAATGGGGGACAGGGCCCTGGGATGGGAGACAGGACCCCATGGTTGCTGGATCAGGGCAGAGAGGTGAGATTGCCAGGGGCCTCTGATCCCATTCCCCCTGTCTGCCCTGTGAAATTCCAGGCTGGAATAATCCAGTGGGGAAAGGCCTGACTGTGCTGGAGTGTCTGGCCCTGCTCCCAGCTCGCTGGGGTTTTGCAGCCTGGAAAGCTCCTGGGAAAAGCTAAAGTGCAAGATTTGGGGTGTCTGTCTTGAGCAGGGGGATTTCTGAGGGGATATTTTTGAGCTCTTTGAAAGGCTGATGGTGTGGCCAAGTTTTGGGGTGGATTTCTATGGCTGCCACAGGGATTAGCAGCAGATCAGGAGGGATTTTTCCTCTGAGCTGCTGGGATGGATTAATCATTCCACGATTACCAGCTCAGGCTGTCCCTGCTCCGTTGCAGAGGCACCAAATCTGCATTTTGTTGAGAGAGAAGTGAATGTGAACTGCAGGAAGAGAGGCTGAGCAAAGGGCATTCAGGGGAACACTGGAAGTGACATCCCATAGTAGCCCCAGGGCTGGTCAGGCTGCAGGAATCTCTGTGCAGAGGCAGCAGTTTGTTCTGCACCACTTCCCAGCTTACCTGATCCCTCTGGGAGCTCTGAAGGGACTTTCCTGCCCTCCAAGGCCTTTTCTCAGCCAGGTGGGAACAAGGAAACTGAGAAGCCACACCTGGAAACACACCCACAAAACTGGCTCTTGAGCCCTGTTCTGGAATTCCTGTCCCTTTGGGATCAGCCTGTGTGCAGGAGAAACTTGGATTTGGCTCAAAAATTCCTTTAAATCCTCGATCCTTTGGAGTGCTGCAGTTAAAAATCAGATCTGGAGTGCAGAGATGGAGCTCTGCCCTCAGTGCTGGCAGCTCTTCCCAAAGGCATGTTAAGAGCTGCTGGGAATTCTGGCACCAGGAATCTTCCTATATTCAAACTTTCATCTCAAAATAACTTTCAGTAATGTGAATTAAGCCAGGTTGGGCTCTGTCTGTGGGAGAAGTTGATGGGCCACAAGGAGGCTCGGGGGACCCTGAGCTCCTCAGTTTCCTGTCCAGGATGATTCCAGCAGGAGTGAGCAGAGCTGCCTGAGTCACTTCCACATGGGACCGAACTCCTCCTGTGCCTGGAAAAAAACCTGCCCATGAAAACGGGGAAGTGATCCAGCACCAGCCCTGCTCCTGTGCCCAGGGTGCCCTCGAGGACAGGCTGCACCCTGAGCTGGCCCCGAGGCTGCTGGGCAGACTTTGCTCTCCCTTCTCTGCCAGGCACACCCACTGTTCACTGGGGACAAATCCATGCCTGTCCTGGCAGGGACATGCTGGGGAGGAGGTGGGAGTGCAGGAGATCCCAGGGCAGGGAGAGGGGCAGGGATGCAGGAGAGCCCAGGGCAGGGATGCAGGACAGCCCAGCAGATTCCCCTTGCTCTCCAGGCTGTGCCCTTTCCCTGCTGTCCCAGATCCTGGTTCATTGTGTGGGTCCTGGATCCGTAGAATAGCCTGAGCTGGAAGGACCATGGGGGGCAGTTCCTGGCCCCTGTCTGGAAGGGTTAGGATTGTTCCTCTCAGGAATTGCTGCCCCACAGCAGCTCTGCCTCACATAGGGGCTGATGGGGGGTGGAGCCCCTGTGTCACCTGCCCTGCAGTGACATCCTGCCGTGTCCACTCCCCTCACAGGACGGGCTCTACGAGTGCATCCTGTGTGCCTGCTGCAGCACCAGCTGTCCCAGCTACTGGTGGAATGGGGACAAGTACCTGGGCCCTGCCGTGCTCATGCAGGTGAGGATGGACCCTTTGTCACCTGGCTGGTGTCACCTGGCCAGTGCTGATGGCTTGGAATGTCTGCCTAGAACAGAGGCCAGACAAGACTGAGAGAATAAAATGGGTCTTTATTGAAGGCCTTCCATAGACACACCATGGGCTGTCAAAAGCCTCCGAGGTTACACCCAAGATGGTCACGAGTTTTTCAGAAAATTGTAAATTTGGTCCCTTTGCATATCAGGGGTTAACCCTCCAATTAAAGCTTCAGGTAATGAAGTCATTTACTCTCACTTTGCTCACCACAATTCATTTTGTTTGTACTTTTCGGAGCCTGAGGCTGTAGGGTGTCCTTGAGTTTCAGGGGAATTGTTTTGTCTGCCCAAAACGGGAGAGCAGCAGGTGACAGGCTGTGGAGTTCAGAGCGAGGATCAGAAAAACTGAAATCCTAGGGGATCACTGTAACCCAGCCTGGTGAGCAGGGTGTTGCTGAGGTTCCTGGCCGGGTGTTGCTGAGGTCCCTGGCTGGGCAGGCTGACCCTGGCCTGGCGGGTGTTGCCGAGGTCCCAGCCATGCTGTCCCCCCAGGCGTACCGCTGGATGATCGACTCCCGCGATGACTTCACGGAGGAGCGGCTGGCACAGCTGCAGGATCCCTTCTCCCTGTACCGCTGCCACACCATCATGAACTGCACCCGCACCTGTCCCAAGGTACGGCACAGCCGGGGCACGGCTGGCACGGGGCACGGCACTGACGGGACCAGGGCTGGCATGGGGACACGGTGACACTGACACGGCTGGCATGGAAACAGGTCACAGGTCATGGTGGCACTGACATGGCCTGGTCAGGGCACGGTGTTTTGGGAAACAGTGCTGGGCACCTGCTGTATCAAATATTTCTTTGAGTAGGAACTCATTTGTGATTTTATTGTGCCTTGGATCCATCCTGTGACCTCCCAGGGTTTGAAAGGAAGGACAGAACCAGCTGAATTCCAGGGTTTAGGGGGGATAAAGGTGGAATAGCAGCAGGTTTGCAAGTTCACTACACTTGGATGAGGAGGGGTGGGGGGGGGAGGGAGGGGAGATGCTGGAGCTCCCCCAGAGACACTGACTGACCCCTCCCGCAGGGGCTGAACCCCGGCAAAGCCATCGCTGAGATCAAGAAGATGATGGCGACCTACAAGCAGAAGGCAGCAGCTGCGTGAGGGCTGAGTGACCCAGAGTGACCCTGCAGTGACCCTGAGTGACTCTCACACCTGGCAACTCCAGCAAGGCGTTACCTGTGCCAGGTGTTACCTGTGCACCTGCAATAAAGGCTGTAAAGAACAACTCCATCCTTTATTGATCCTTTATTAATCATTTCTTAATTCCCTTTGTGTAACCTTTTACCATCCCAGACCTCTTGGTGCTGGGAGGAGGTGGGAGGCTCTGGAAATCCTGGGATTGGCTGGCAACAAGGAATGGCGGAGGGACCTGGAGCCTGAACTCCCCAGACTGAGGATTTGGAACTCCCGGGGTGCAGGATGGGGCAAAACCCCAGGAGCGGATCCACCAGAAGTGAGGTGTCCTGTCCTGCCCCATGGCATCCTGATTTTTACTCCAAATCTTGAAATGGGACTTTTTGGGGTTGAATCCTTCTCTTTTCTCCAGAACAAGTGCATTTTTTTTACCTCCAGGTCCCAGTTCCACCAGGAGTGACGTGTTCTCTTCCCACCTCCCTGGGACCCTGATTTGTACTCCTAAGGAAATGGGATTTTTTGGGTCGAATCCTTCTCTTTTCCCTGGTATTTTAACCTCCAGCTTTCTCCAGTTTGGGATGTTTGGAGCACGTCCTGAGAGTGAGAGAAAGGAATTGCTTCAGCTTTGCTGATGAATTCATGAGTTTCAGTCTGAATAATTCAAACCTCCCAGAAATGTGATGCCGCTCCTACTGAGGTCACTGGGACGCCACTCCCGGGGTGTCACACCCCGGGTTTGGGGTGCGAACCCCAATTCCCAGCATCCCCCGGGGTGCAGATTCCAATTCCCAGCACCCCTCGGGGTGTCACAGCTCCGGTTTTGGGGCCTAGACCCGAATTCCCTACATCCTCTGAGGTGTCACACCCCGGGTTTTGGGGTGCAGACTCCAGTTCCCTGCATCCTCTGAGGTGTCACACCCCCGGTTTTGGGGTACAGACTCCAATTCCCGGCATGCCCCGCCGTTTCCCGGGGTCGCTGCCCGGTTTCGGGGTGCGGACTCCAATTCCCAGCATCCCCCGCCGTTCCTGGCCCGCCCTTTCCGGCGGCGCGCGGGGCCGCGGGGCCGCGCCATGAGCTCAGGTGAGGAACCGGCATCGGGACCGGGATCGGGATCGGGGATGGGATGAGGGGTCGGGATCAGGGACCGGGACCCCCCGAGGGCCCGGAGCCCCCCGAACCCCCAAAGCTCCGCCCGGGTCTCCCGGGGCCGCTGTAGCCCAGCCCGGGGGGGGCGGGAGCGGTGCGGATCCAGGGCCATTTTTTCCTATCTATTCCCATTTATTCCCTTTTACTCCCATTTATTCCCACATATTCCTATTTATTGCCATTTATTTTGATTTATTATTTTGCCTTCTAAAATTTTGCTCTTTTAATTGGCCTTATTATGCTTTATTTTTAAAATTTTATTTTCTTCTGTTGCCTTTTTAAAAATTTTACATTTTTCTTTTTTTAATTTTGCTTTAATTCTCTTTATTATTCATCTTTATTTGACTTAATTTCATTTTATTTTGCTTTTTTACTTCCTTATTTTGCTTTCTTTTCTGGCTTGTTTTTTTACTTTCGCTTTTTTGTTTTATATTTGGAACCATTATTTTGCTGTAGTTTTGTTTCCAACTTTGTTTTTCTGCTTTTTAATTGTGCTTTACTTTGCTTTTTTCTTTTGCTTTGTTCGTTTTTTCATTTAATTTCTCTTTATTATTTTCCTTTTGGTTTTTTTATTTTCATTTTTCTCCTCCAATTAATTTGGCTTTGGGTTTTTTTGCTTTATTATACTTTTTTGGTTCCTTTTCTCTTTTATTTCACTTTATTTTGCTTTTTTATTTTGTTCCATTTCTCTTTTATTTCACTTTATTGGACTCCACTTCCCTTTTTTTCTTTTGCTCCACTTCCCTTTTTATTTAGCTGTATTTCCCTTTTATATTTTGCTTTATTTCGCATTTTTATCCCAATTTCTTTCCTGGTTTCCTGGCCCCTCTCCCATCCCGGGACTCCGGGTGGGATCTCCTGGCTCCACATCCCTTGGGAATTCTGGCCCTGGGAATGCAGCCGTGGATCCGAAGAGGAAAGGAATCCCGGGAGGGGCTTTGGGATGCTTCAAACCCCAAATCCTCCAAAATCCCCAAACTCCAAAGTCTCCAAACCCCCCAAATCCCAAATGCCCCAAATCCTCAAAACCTCTAATGCTCCAAATTCCAAATCCTCCAAACCCCAAAGTCCCAAATGCCAAACTCTCCAAACCCCCCAAATCCTGAATGCTCCAAATGCTCCAAACACCAAACTCTCCAAACCCTAAACTCTCAAATCCCCCCAAACCCTCCAAAACCCCCAAACCCTCCAAACCCCAGACTCTCCGAACCCCAAACCCTCCAAACCCCAAATCCTGTAAACTCCAAACCCCCCAAACTCTCCAAATCCTCCAAACCTTATCCCCTCCAAATCCCAACTCCCCCAAACCCCACAGCTGGATCCCCTCTGCCCTCCCAGAGCTGCTTCCCACGTGTGGATCCCTCCCATCGGGGTCATGGAGCACAGGGTGGGTTTTGGGGTCGCCTCTGGGATCCCATCCCGGAGCGATCGCAGGGTTTTTTCCGTGGATAAATGGTGGAACGTGGTGCTGGGTGGGAAACAGGATCTGTCCAGGCCGGGATTCTCATTTCCAGGGAATGGGGAGTGGCGCTGCCCAGTGACCTTCGCCCCTTCCCTGCTGGATTTGCCGCGCTCAGCACGGACGTTTCTTCCAGGGCGTGGGGGGATCCGGGGGTTCCATGCCTGTGTGGCCCCGCTCGGATCCCCTGGATCCCCTGGGATCCCCCTTGCCCATCCCAATCCCGATCCACAGCCGCAGCACTCGGGGGTCAAAGTCCCGCTTTTTTCCCCTGAGCTCCTTCATTTAAGGATTGCTGGAGGTGTTCCCATCCTGGTCCCTCATTCCCAGCGGGAACGCCGGGAGTGCAGCCCCCTTTTCCCAAGGGAGGGAGGAGCCCTTATTTACCCGAGACTGGGGGAAATGTGGGATTGGGATGTGAACCCCCTGTCCTCCCGCTCGCACCATGGTGTCCCCCAAGCCGAGATGTTCCAGGCACTTCCCTCCAGGTTGGCAGCTGGATTTGGGCGCTGGGGAGGTCAGGGCCAGGGAGCTCCCCCTGTGCCAGGAGGGTTGGAATGCCGGGATCTCAGCTGGCTCACCGGCACACGGCACAGCCAGCACTGCCCTGCTCCTCTTTGAGGATCTCTCCCAAAAACCCAAACTGCAGCCGGTGCTGATGGGAGTTTATTCCTCACCTGTCTCAAGGGTTTGATGCCTGAGCGTGGATTTCCCAGCACTGGGGAGTCTGAATCCCACTTTCCCATGTCCCCACCTTGGATCAGGCCCATCTCAGCCGTTGTTCCTTCAGCACAGCCTTGGGCCATTTTACCGGGAGGACCCGACCGTGGTCAGCCACGTTTGCTCCGGCGGGCTGGGATCGGTTCCCATGAGATCTGTGGGAAGGGCAGGAGAGTCACCAGAATCTCATCCCAGCCCCATGCTCAGTCGCAGGATCTCCCATCCCAGAGCCTGAAGGCTCTGGAAGTTCCTCCTGGGTGCAGTCTCACCCTCCATGCCCAAACACTTCCTTACGTTGTCTCTGCCTCCTGGCTTTTGCCTTGTCCTGATTTTCTGTGTCCCCATCTCCAAGGGCCTGGATTGGCCTTGTCAGCACCAGTGGTTGGATGCCCCAAATGCAGTGATTGGAACGGAAACTTCCATGGATGGCGTTTCCTGATCCTGTGTGCAGCTTCCAGCCCATGTGGGTGGGTGGATGGATCCATGGAGGGGTGGATCCCTGGATGGACAGATGGATGGTGCTGCCCAGGAACCATCCAGCAGGAGCCATGGGAGCAGTGAGAGGTCTCTAAGCCCCCGTGGGGTTTGTTTGCTTCCAGAGAGGGGCTTGGGAAGGGCCAGGGTGGCTGGGGGAGCTGCCGGAGAAGTCTCTGGTAGCAGCATCCGACTTTTCCGTGGGCACCTTAGCTGGGGACAGGACTCTGACCCAGATCCAAATCCTGGGACGAGGACCTGGCTTCCCCAGCTGATCCCCAGCCAGTTCTTGGATCCCGATCCCATCCCAGCCTCCAGCACTGCGCTCCGGAGTCGGAAGGTTCATCCCTCCTGCCAGGATGTGCAGTGGGTGTGGGAGCATCCAGAGCCGTCTCTTCCCAAACTTCCTCCCGACAGGACAGGGCAGGGCCTGGACTCAGAGCCAGGCAGCTGTGGGGCATTCCAGGTGGGATTTTGGCCGTGCAAATCCATCATCATTGCGGGATCTTGGCTCTCGTCTTCCCCGGACAAGCCGGGCTGGTGCATCCTGAGCCCTCTCCGGGATTCCAGCCTGTCCTGGCCGTTCTCCTGCTCCTAATCCCTGTTTTAGCGGTGGAGAGGGAAGCAGAGAGCAGAGCTCTGTGCAGGGTTCCGGGGAAATTCCCGGGATCCGGAGGCGGAGAAGGCACATCCCGGACCCCCCGCGCCGTGTTTGCCGACAAGGAGTGGCCTCGGTGCCGGGAGCGCGGCTGCGGCGGAGCCGGGCACGGCCGCGGGGGAGCCGGGGATGGCGGCGCTGCCGGTCCGATCCTTTCCCGGCCCATCCCACCCTGACAGATCCCAGCCTTCCTGACCCTTTCCCAACCGATCCCTTCCCGACTGATCCCATTCTGATACATCCCTTCCTGGCCGATCCCATCCCCACCGGGAGCGCTCTCGACAGGATGCGGTGGGGTGAGTCAGTGCCGGGGCTTTTCCTCACCTGCCGGGCTTTAGGAACAGCCGGGATGGGAGCGGGAGGGTAGGAATCCCACAAGAACTGAGCTGGAATTCCACAGGGCTAGAATCCCTACGGGGACGGGGCTGGAATCTCGGAGATGGGGCCGGAATCCCACGGGTGCAGAGCCACTTGGTTCCTCCCAGAAAAGACAGGATAATTCACTTAGGGGCTTCCCATTACTCAGAGGCTCCGGGAAGGGAATTGGGCTGTTTTCAGGTTGTTTGGATACTTTCTCCCTCTCCTGCACACCTCGGGAAAAGCCCTTGTGTGAGACCCCCTGCCCCGTCCTTGGGAAGGGCAGAACTCCCGGTGTCCCTGCAGCTGGAATTCCCACTCTTTGCAGAATTTGAGGCTGGTACTGGTGACAGCTAACCCCTCCCTTCCTTTTCTTGGCCCCTTCGACAGCTTTTGTTTTACTGAACCATCCCTTAGGCTCATCCCCCAATTCCTCCCCTCCAAACTTATCTCATGGAGCGCCACCAGCTGCGGGAGCTGGACATGGATCCCCCCCACCATAGGGAATGGTTTTAAGGAGCAGCTTTTATCCCCTGCAGAGGAGCTTTGGGGTCAGACAGGGAGCAGCAGGAATCCAGCCGGGGCGGTTTTTCCAGTGTAAGTCCTTGAGCCACTCTCGGTGGCCTCCTGGAAGCCAACCCTGGCCCAGGCAAGAAATATCCACGTGTTTCAGGAGTGGGAACAGCTCCTGGCTCTGTGCTTGTGCCACGTGTTGCCTCCCCACTGCTGATCTGCGATCTCAGCCTTGGGAATGCCGTGACTCCTATTCCATCCTGGATTCTGGGAATGAGCAGGTTCAGTGACTCCAATTCCATTCTGGATTTAGGGAGTGAGCAGATTCAGTGACTCCCATTCCATTCTGGATTTAGGGAATGAGCAGATTGAGTGACTCCTAATCAATCCTGGATTTAGGGAATGAGCAGGTTCAGCTTCAGGCACGGAGGGTGATGGTTGAGATCCCACCTGGGGGGATCCCAGGGATGATCCCGGGGGTGATTCCTGATCTCAATTTCCAAGGTTGGGCTTTGGGGTGCAGCAGAGCCCGGCGGGAATTGGAGCATGGTTAAAACCGGGAAATGCCAATTTTTTGGCCACCAGGAGCAAACCTAGGGAGCAAACAAGGAGCAAACGAGCTGGAAAAGTGTCAGGGAGAGCTGGCCTGGCTCCAGCCCAGCTCTGCTCCCTTCCCGTGCCCGCTGAGCTGCTAGGGTAACGCCAGAAATCCGGGGGCTGCTCCGGCGTCGTCCCCGTGACCATCACGTGCCCGGGAGGATGACAGGGTGGCAATCCCGGCTGGATGGGCCAGGAGCCACCACCTCCTGCTGGGACTGACCCGGGATGGCATCGTCAGGAGCCCGTCCCCGGGGATAGCCAGCCCCTCTGCTGAGCCTTCTCCATGTTTTTTGTGGATTTGCAGACAGCAGCCGGCTGCTGGGGGCCCGGCGCCCGGGCTACGGGACGCTGCAGCCGGACACGGACCCGACCCGAATGGTAGGTCCGGGCTGGGGTGGTCTCCCACACCGAATCCCGGTGCTTCCCACACCCCCAGTGCTGCTTTTCCACCCCCTTGGTCATCCCTGCCTGGTCAGGCCGGGATTTTGGGAATTTGGGGTTTAATGGTTGGTAATCAGTTTGAGCTGATTTTGTGACTGAGCAGCTGGGTGCAGGTGAGTGATTCCCAGTGATTCCCAGGGGTTCCCTCTCCTCCAGGAGGTCACGGGCTACCAGCGCAGGACGTGGCGGGTGCTGCTGTGCCATGCGGGCTCCGTGCTGAGTGCAGGGCTGCTCCTGCTGCTCTTCCACTGGAAGCCGAGCCTGGAGGTGCAGGCCAAGTGCGAGCCCTGCGCCCTGGGCCAGGCAGACTGGGTCATCATCAGGGTGAGTCCCATGGGACCCCGACCCGCATTCCCAGGCTGGGGTTCTGAGGATCCAGGTGGATTCTGTGGGTCCAGGGTTGGATTCTGTGGGTCTGGGTTTGGATTCTGCCAATCCGGGGTTGGATTTTGTGAATCCCGGGTTGGACTCTGTGGGTCTGGGGTTGGATTCTGTGGGTCTGGGGTTGGGCTCCGCCCCGGGTTCCCAGCAGGACCCTGGGAATGTTCCCTCTCCTTGTCCTCCTGCCAGTGTCTGGTATCTCCTTCCCTCAAGCATCGGATTATCCAGGAATTTATAATTATTATTATAATTCCTAGAATTGTCCCATTCCAGGAGTTGTTACTATTCCTAAAATAACTACACATTTTCCCCTTCCATCCCATCCTACTTGGCTTGGAATTTCTCTTCACTGTCCCCAAACCTCAGCCACCATCTTGTGCGGGTGGCCAGGCCATTCCCACGCTCCTGGGCCTCTGGAAGGAGCTGGGAATGCCCTGGGTGCTCCCAGTTTTCCCTGCCAGCCCATCCCTGTGTTTCAGGACCGTTTTGGACAGTGCTTCACCACCAAGGTGCTGACGGAGCCGCTGGGCGAGGCCGGGTGAGCCAGGCTCTGTCCCTGCAGGGTCTGGGAGCCGCTCCTGGTTCTGAGGGGGGGGTGGCTGTGCCCGAGTGTCCCCTGGCTCTGGGGGACAGTGGCAGGGCAGGGGCTGATCCTGGGTGTCCCCTGGCTCTGAAGGAGGGGTGGCCGTGCCCGAGTGCCCCCCGGCTCTGAGGGACAGTGGCTGTGCCCGGGTGTCCCCTGGCTCAGGGGCACCGTGGCTGACCCCAGCTCCCCCCTGAGCAGCCTGGAGCACCTCCCCGGGGCCCAGCAGGACCGCAGCAGCAGCGTCACCGTCACAGTGCCAGATGAGGACGAGAGCCGTGACACCGTCCAGCTCCACGACAAGGACGAGGTGGCACCAGCACCTTCCCCACCTCCAAGGCCTCTCCCTGACCCTGGACACCCGTCTCATGCATGCCTGGTTTTCCCATCCCTGTCTGGCAGAAGAGCATCCTGAGGTATTACCTGTTCCAGGGAATGCGCTACGTGTGGCTGGAGCGGCGGCAGGCCTTCTGCAGAGTCAGGTATTCCCCGATCCCGGCATTCCCGGCATTCCCAGCTCCCCCCGGACCCTCCTGCCCCCCCTGCCTGGAGAGGAATTGTTATGTCTGACCTCAGTGGGAGAGCAGCAGCTGACACTGAAGTTTAGTATGTGGAGTTTAGAGTTATACAGTGAAGAACTGCAGGATTAGAAATACATAAAAAACATAAAATCTAAAATCCTGAGGCATCACTCTTGGCACTCGCTGGCCTTCAGAGCCACCCCCAGTGCCCTTGGGACATTCCCAGGCACGGGCAGCTGGCCAGGGCGGTTTGGCAGAGCTGGGCACTCGGACTGAGCTGCTTTTGTTGCCTTCCCTTGGCAGCTGCAGGCTGCAGAGAGACCAGGGGACAGGGCCAGGGGACATGGCCAGGGAAGGGGGCCAGAGAAGGGGCACTGTCCCTTTCTGAAGGGCTGGGTTTGTCCCCAGCCCTTGGCCATAATCTGTTCTCGCTGGCTCTCACTCGCCTTCCCTGTTCTCCTTTGCTCCCCAGCGTCCTGGACGAGGGCTGGACCTGCGCAGAGCTGCACCTGAGCCGGGCCGGGCTGCACCAGCAGGAGCACAGCACCAGGTGGGGGCTGGCAGCTTCCTGGGAAGCAGGGACAGGGCTTTTCCAGGCAGCAGGAAATCCTGGAGCTTTTCCAGGCAGCAGGAAATCCTGGAGCCTCAGCTCTCCTTCTCTCAGACCCCAAACTGCTGGGTGGGATGGGATTCCTGGGGTTGGCTGCTCTGCATAACCCAGCTCCTCACGGAGGTCTGGGCAGCACAAGGGGCCCGTGGGTTGGAAATGCAGCTTTTCCCAAGGATAAAACTCATTCTGTGTCTTTTATCAAGGATAAAATGTCTTCTCTGTCTTTTCTCAAGGATAAAACTCCTTCTCTGTCTTTTCTCAAGGATAAAACTCCTTCCCTCATTTCACAAGGATAAAACTCCTCCTCTGTCTTTTCTCAAGGATAAAACTCCTTCTCTTTCCTTTCCCAAGGATAAAACTCCTGACCTCTCCCTTCCCAAGAATAAAAATCCTTCCTTCCTTTCCCAAGGATGAAACTCCTTCCCTCTCCCTCCCCAAGGATAAAACTCCCTCCCTGTCCCTCCCCTCCTTGCAGGAGGAAGATCTACGGCCCCAACCTCATCGAAGTGCCTGTCAAGTCCTACGCCAGGCTCCTGGTGGAGGAGGTGTGTTCTGGGCGGATTTCCAAGTGGATTTTCACAGGATGGATCCCTCCCCTGCTCCCTGTCTGGAAGCTTTTCCTGGCTCTGCGGAAGGGAGGAGAGGATTTTGGGAGAAGGCTGAGCCGTGGAGGGTACTCTTCCTGACCCTCTGGGCTGGGACAGGAGCAGCCCCTGTGGGTAGCAGTGGTGGCTGAGCATCCTCGGGAGCAGCATCTGTAGGGAAATCCAGGGGGAAGGAGGGTTTGGGTGAAGCCAGCCCCAGGGAGGGGCCCAGGGAAGAGGAGAGGGTTCTCCTCTGACAGCTCCTAGAAGGCTCGTGATGGGCTGGGGCAAGCTTTCGCTCCTCCAAGGAGCCTGGAGAAATTCCACCCATGGAAAACCCATACTGGGCTGGGAGAAGCTCTCCCCATTTCCATGAGCTTGACAATCTCACACTGGGGCTGGGGAAGCTCTCTCCACTTCCAGGAGCCTGGAAATCCTGTATTGCCTGGATGAAGCTCTCCTCATTTCCAGGAACCTGGAAATTCCATATTGGGCTGGAAGTTTTTCCCTCCTCCAGGGAGCTTGGCAATCCTATATTGGGCTGGGGGGAAGCTCTCCCCATTTCCAGGAGCCTGGAAATCCCATGATGGACTGAGGGAGGTTCTCCCACCCCAAGGAGGTCTCCCAGTAAACTCCCAGAGGTTCTCTCTGCTCCCAAACCTGGGTTCTCTCTTCGTTGCAGGTGCTGAACCCCTTCTACATGTTCCAAGTGCTCAGCATGGTGCTGTGGGTGTGTGATGCCTATTACTACTACGCCGCCTGCATCTTCCTCATCTCCACGTTCTCGCTGGGGCTGTCCCTGTACGAGACACGCAAGGTGGGTGGGGACGGCTCCATAGGATCCCATCCCCTGGAGCTGCCCTGTTCTGGGTGGGGACAGCCCTGCCCCCGCTCTCCTTGTCCTCCCGAGGCTGTTTTTAGGGGCGTGTCTTGGTTTGAAAAACAGGTCTCTGCTAAGAAAGGCAGGAGCCTCTCCTTGAAATTGAGAATGTAAACCCCCTCCCTCCAAATTATTATAATTTTGAAACTAAGGGGCTCTCAGGCAAAGCTATGGGTACAGGAATAACAGTTCTTTACTAGGAAAAATTAAAATAGAAATACAGTATTACAGAGAACAAACCCAAAACACTGAAGAGTGAGAATCTTAGCTGACACCCCATCAGTCAGTCAGGGGTTGGTGCAGTCCCATTCCATGGTGGCTGCATCCTCCTGCAGTGACAGATTTGGTTCTGCTGGAGCAATGCTCCAGCAGAAGGTGCAGTTTTCCTCCAAAGCTCCAGGGATGATGTGGAAGGCTCTGGTTTTCCTCTGGAATCCAGTGGAAAAAGGCTGCTCTGATGCTCCAAATCTCAGATTTTATCTGGGTAGGAAATGCTTGGCTCCTCCCCCTGGGTGGAGCATCTCCCAATGGGATGATGGAATTTTATCAGCCATGCCCTGAGACTCCATGGCCCATGAAAGGGAGATATCTCCTGGAGGGAGGATGGACTGTGGGAAAGATAAAGAACACTGCCCCAGCTGCTTTAACAGCTGGAACATTAACAGAGGATATCTCCAAGGAGATCAGATCACTGCCCCAGCTGGTTTTTAGCAGCTGGTGATAGAATACACACTTTTGGGCACATCCTGGATTGCAACTCGAGACAAGGTGGTTTCCCACGGATTTTGGGTGGGTTTTGACCCCTCCCTCCATCCCTCCCTCCCAGCAAAGCACCACGCTGCGGAACATGGCCAGGATGTCCGTGGGGGTGCGGGTGCGGCGGCCCGGCGGAGGTGAGAGCCAGGATTTGGGGGATGTGTCCTCTGGGATCCTTCTGCACCAAAGGCGTATTAGGATAGCTGGGAATAATGTTGGGACACACTGGGATCATGTTATTGTACATGGGGAATAATGTTATTATATATGGGAATAATGTTGGCATGCATGGGAATACCAATAGGATATATGGGAATAATGTTATTATACATG